CCATCCATCTGATGTCCAGTTGGTCTGACCAACGTCTGAGAGTCGCCCAATAGTCTTGGGCGACTCTCTGGCAACTTTTGGGTCTCAGTCCTGAACTCCTGAACTAACAGGTCAACCTTTAGGTTGCTCTGTTGAACTTTGTTTTCAAAGACTTAGCTCCTATTTCCTCTTTTGTTATTTCTTTATTTGGCTGATTTGTGGAATTTTTTTTTTCTACTTTCTTCTGAGACCCACATTCCCATCCAGCGTATGGTTTCGGTTATTTGTTTTGTTTCTCCTCTGGTTTGTTGGCTGCAGTAAATACATTCTAGCCGGTCTCATCTGGTACTGGTCTCTGTAAGTATCTCACCACCATCTGAATACTCATTGAATCAGGCTGTTCCACTCCAGGTCCTGTTGTTATTATCTAGATGTTTAACTGGATAATCCTCCTCATGTGCCTCTGTGCTCTCTGTTTCTTTCATGTTTCCTTCTAAACCTCCAAGGTTTTATTTTCCTCTCAATAGTCTCCTCAAGATGAGACTATTGTTGTCTTTCTACTGCTTTGGGCCCAAATTGTGACATTCTGCTTGGATAATAACAAAATGCTCCACAAAGTTACACAATCTAAAAAAATAAAAGTGACCTAGGTTATTACTTCAGGAATGTTATGAAATATTCTGTCTCACCATAAACAACATTTCAGGATGCCACCAGACATTTGACAGGAAAATGTAGAAATGAATGAACGAAAGTTAAGGAGCATTAACTGATGGACTCCTGGCAAAAACAGAGTATCAAATCAGAACATGTCTAAACATGTCCGAGGAATATGTTTGCAGAAAATCTTCACATAGATCTCCCCCTTTTGTGGCTGACGGAACAGATCCCTATTTTTGAAATGTGTCAAGTGAGTGAGCTGTATGTGATTTTACCAGGTAGACATCAATTTCACAACAAAGAGCTGCATGTACTTTGAGGGGGCTGGAGAGGAGCTGTCGCTCAAAGTGATTTTTTCTAACAGACGGCTGCCAGCAGAAGGCCTGTCAGAGTTGCTCATCAAGCGACAATACAGACTTCAGGAGTCTGCTAAATAACAGATGTTTTTTCTTTTTTCAACACGTTATTTCCACTTTGCAGACTAAAAAGAGTTCATTTTAAAGGGGCAGTAGTATGTGTTTTCTATGCTACGTAGTGCCGTTTTCTACCACAATCAAGTAACAATGCTACTTTCAGTTCTCTTAAAAATTCTACGTATATCAAGTACGACTTAAAAGAAATCTGGCTTTGTAATTTAACGCCTTGAAATTGGGGCTCTGTCTCTTTAAGAAATTCTTGATCTTTCTGAAGCTCCGCCTTCAGGAAGTCATCACAACATGGCTCCGCTATTAACCCTTTAATAATGTTTTTACTAGCGTTTCACTGAGAAGGTGTGTTGTTCAAACAGGTGTTTGCTAATTGCTGCTGGCTAGTCTGAAGGAGCTGAGAGGGGGAGTTGTGGAAGGGCCGCTCTGAGGCGGAAGCTTGGAAACTACAGCTCAGAGGAGCAGCTGCGTCTCAAAGGCGGAGCTAGGTCCACCCAGGTGTTATGCACAGCTGAATGGTTGCCATGGGAGATTAAAGGATTTCTGAATCAAAGCAACACTCCAGATGTGTTTTTGTTGAGGGAAAAAACATTATAACATGATGTAAAGATAAAAAAAGTCAATTTTACATAATACTGCCCCTTTAAAATAAGGTAATTGTCAGATTAGAAACTTATCTGCTGACTTTCAGTCTGCTTTCCTAGATGTAAAATCTGTTGATATCTCTGTTGTGTGTTTTGTCGTCACCCGTCTGCAGACTCTGTAATCAATCAGTAAATCACTTAGAGACTCTGGTTTGGGCAAAAATGAGTTAAGCTTCAGTTGAGCAGAGAGACAGTTCAGGTGCAGTGACGTTAAGTGTTGTGGTTCTTATACAAGTCATACGATAAACTGCAATCCTACCGTAAAGCGCCAAGGAAAAAAAAACACACTTCTTGGAACAGATTCACGACATTTCTCTGCTCAGCCGTGCGTGAATAATCCGGCTTTAAGTCGCGCTCTGGGCCGGAAGTAATTTATTTTATGTTTCCCATTTCTTGATGAGAAATTGGCAATAATGGAGGGGAAAAATGGTGGAAACTGTTGCTAAATCAGCGTGAGACATTGGGAGGATTTGTGAGGCTCGTACTTTATGTGTGTTTGTGTCTGTTTGGATCAAGTGAGCGGGGAGGAAACCAGAGCAGGACTTCTTTAACGTTAACTGTACTTATTCAGGTTTGACAGGAGCAGCTTGTTTTTTAGCTGCTTCAGCAGCTTGAGCAGGGACTAGATTTTTTTTTGTTGCACTTTATGTCTCAAAGTAAAATACCTTGGTTATGAATTTAATAGCATGGATGGTAGTACAGTCATTTCCAAAATTATTTAAACACCTTGGACTTTCTCTTATTTTCTCAAAATGTGACGCATTTTGAAATGAAAGGAAAATTATACCAGACTTTCAGATTTAAACGGGACAGAGCAGAGGCTAAAGTTGTCATCCGTTCCTCTTGTAGAGTCACCTTTTGTCCTGCTGTCGGTCAGCCTCTGTCCAGTTTCAAGTCTTTTTCAGGTATTATCTTCCACGATGGATGGTATTATCTTCCATCCATCCATCCATCCATCCATCCATCCATCCACCCATCCATCCATCCATCCATCCATCCATCCATCCATCCATCCATTTTCTTTACACCCTTGTCCCTCAGTGGGGTCGGGAGGGTTGCTGGTGTCTATCTCCAGCTAACGTTCCGGGCGAGAGGCGGGGTCACCCTGGACAGGTCGCCAGTCTGTCGCAGTTTTTCAGGTATTAAATTCTCTGAAAAGAATTGCAAAACTATTTATTACCTAAAAAAAAAAAAGTATTTGTTTGTTTTTATCATAATCTTTATCGTTATCGCAATAGCGCCACAAAATATTGCGATGAAATGAGTCTCAATCGCCCACACCCACAAACCACATTTTATTTTCCTTCCACATAACAATCATGTGACACTTTATGTTGGCCGAATATGAGTAAAAGAATCGTGGAAGTTCTTCCAGGCTGTTTTTTTTTGTTTTTATTCATTGTTCTGTAAGCTCGGCACCAACGCTGACTGTGCAGGCCTCACTGCAATGACTTAATTACCTTGTTTATTGAGTGGCTAATTAGCAAATTGAAAGCAGAATAATTGAGTTTCAAGGGCTCTCATGAGAACCTAATAGGCCTCAGTAGTTGACCCCTTCTGTAGATTTGTTGAGAGGTCTGCTCTTAACAAGAGAGGACTTCACAGACTGAAGAGGAAGGCGACAGCCATGTTGTTGGGAATCCCGCCCTGTTTTAAAACTCAACCTGGTGAGGCTTGAATGACATGCATTCCTGTATATCACCATGGCAATGATGACTTCTTATTCATGAAAAGAAAGGAGATAAAAAAAAACTGTGTTCCAGAAATGGCTGATTGTTTGCATGGACTTCCATAAGTTTGACTTTTATGTGACAAACTGAGACAAACTTGTGAAGTGAAATGAAATTTTAAAAAATCCATTCCGTAAACTTAAAGTAAAATTCAAAGCAACCAGTTGCCTTCATAAATCTCATCAGTAGCAATTATAATGTGTGTAATAATAAAAGAGTTGCAATGAAACAGTTTAAATCAAAGCAGTAGAGGTGGGCGAATCGGTCCAAAATTTCGATAATATCAGTATCAAGTCGGTATCAGTAAGTATCGATACTAGCTTGGTAAGATCGATACTTTCAGCAGATGCTTTATTTTTTTATCGTAGTTTCCCAACCCTCCCTCAAAAGAGATTTTGATTTGATTTGTAAAAACGCACGCAACTGTTTTGTTTTTCTGTTATTTCTACGTATCGCGTTAATAGGTTATCAAAGTATACTTCTGTGGACAAATATACACTTTATCCAGATTCCATCTTAGGTTTTAACCAAATAAATCAAAGAAAAACTACAAAAACACCTATTGGCCAAAGGTTTGATGATATATCAAACTTAAATAAGAAAAAGAATCGGTATCAGTATCTGTACTCACTTATCAGAATAATTGTTAATTTGGCGTTATCACACTTGAAAACTGACGTTCGCACAACTTCTCCATCTAACGTGTATGAGCTTGGATAGAAACTTAAACCTCTAGATGTTCCGACACGACCTCACTTTTCACCTTTCCATTTTTCCGTCCAATCTTACTGAGCTGTTCTGCAAAGACGTGTCGTTTTCCTTCCACTTAACAAGTCTGCTGTACTTTGACTTGACCTCTCAGATAAAATCCATCTTATTTTTCACATCCTTGTCTATTCAAACACAAAAACAGCTGCACAAAGAAATCCAGATGCGTTTTTAAGTATAAAACTACAAAAGCACAGAGGTGACCCTCGGTTTTAACAGGTGACTCAGTCCTTACGAGACGGGTACAGGAGGAGATGTGTTGTCCCTCCCAGAGGACACACCCCCAGGCTGTTTGCCTGTATGCGACACCTCGTGTCAATTACCTCCCGCCTCTTCATTTCTCCTCATATCAGCTCAACCTTTCTTTTGTCCTTCCCTGTCAAACACCTTGTCGTTATCAGACTGCAGAAATGTAACTCTCTTGCATTAACATTAATTAATTTAGCGTTGTTACGTCAGTGTGAGCAAGTCAGGATCAAAAATGAACTTTTTTAATTAAAACTTTTATCTTTTTTTTTTTAATTAGTCTTGTTAACTTCTTTAAACATTGTCAACATATTTGACAGAGGACAAATTTACTTTCAGCCGTCCCTTTTTCACAGAGTGTCCCCTCAGTGTTTCGGTGTTCTGTGGTCGGGGGCAGAAATTCACAAGTCGATGTTTATATTTGTTGTGCTAAATATATGAACACTGTGCGTGGGTGTTTCCTGCGCTTTGCGGGTGCGAGTTGAGTGTGTTTGTCAGCAAGAAACATTGACTCAGTTTGGTGCCAGAGGCATTAATTGAGGCATCAATTAAAGGAGTTAACGAGTTTGTTTAATGAGACGAAAACTCTGCTTGTGTTTCTGACGTCAGACTCGCCAGACGGGGACTGCTCCTATGAGAAAAAGGTCAGCCTTTTTTTCAAGGCGTCTCCTTCTAGTCGCTGTGCTCATCGTCTCATCCTCTGTCCCTCAATCTGAGTTCTTCTTCTGCCATCGTTTGTTTCTCGTTCTTCTCTGAAAAGCAACATAAAAAATACTAAATAAACCCAGTTAAATGCAGTAAAGTGGTGGTCTTAGTGACTACAAGGGACACTTTTGCCTTGTTTCCACTGAGCAGCAGAGCATGCTATTATGTCTGTTTCTATTATAAAAGCATCCCACACTTTCACTGCTTGTGACAAGCACAAGAGATACTACCATTGTCGCACCAGTATGATGTAACATTTGACGTTTGGGTTTAAACCTGCCTGCCCAGAGTCCAGCAAATGGTGGAAACGCTCTCCGAAATACAACCAAACCAAAAATTTAGCATCAAAATTATTTTACTGTTGTAGACAGAAAAAAAATTCTATAGCAAAGCATTGATTTACATGCAGTTGTTCACTACTGAAGCGGCAATATGCCGCTTTGAACAAATGCTTTGGAGACCCAATTTGCTAGCAGCATCCTTGAACACTTTGGAGGTGTTGTAATGCTCCAGAACCTGAGCTAGCGGTGTCATGTGGTAGTAGAATAAATTGGAGCCTGAGAATGGAGCCTCGTGGTACACCACGTCTGATCTTTGTTTGCTCTGATTTATAATGACCAAGTGACACAAAGTAGCTCCAGTTTGTCAAATAAGATCTGACGCAGTTTAGCACAGTCACAGACAATCCATTCCAAAATGTCAATCAGGATGCAATGATAAACTGTACCAGTGAAACCAAGACAGAAGTGTTTTTATGCATTAATTTTAAAATGTATGTCATTCATAACTCTTACCCATCAAAAACCTAAAAATTATTCTTTTTTTTTCCAAATAAAAAAAAATTAAGCCTGTTGACAAGCTGCCATTTTAATTATCTTTGCCAGAAATGTTGGGTTAGATATCTAGTCACAGTTATTGAGTAGTGATTAGTAGTGAAACCAGATTAGGTTTCTTTAAAATGATCCCTGAGGTTTTAAGGACAAAACCAGGAGAGAGAAGAAACTACCATCTGAACTGTTTCAGGTGGAACGGAGTTGAGGATGTTTCTGAAAAACACTTGAAGGATCCATATCAAGGCTACAGTTAAGAATTTCATGACATTAGCAGATTCAATTAGAAATGCATAATTCATTTAATTAAACATCCAGATCCCTAAATACTCCAGAGTTTATAAAGACAAACAGTTTAGCAATGTTGGACCTTTTTTTATTTGGTATGAATATTGCTGTTTGAAAACTCTGCAAAGCCATTACAGGACTTTGTGGATAAAAGGTCAAGAGGCACAAACGGTGCAGACATTACTGAGCCTGCTAATAATAGCAAACAATATTTGGACATTATGACTATTTTTATTGACAATTTCAGAGAAATGTGACTTCCTTGTTCTTTTTACCTTAAAATTCTGAGACTTTCTTTAAAACATGTCATAATGTACCTGCATTTCCTTTCTGTTATCCAACTTATGTTACCTTCTTCCAACATGACTTATTCTTCTATTATTTAACTAAATTAATTTTAAAATCTCCCACTATAAGAATGCAGTCAGACTATGAATTGCAGATTGCTATTTGAGAAACTTAGCATTACACTCAGCTTTGTATTTTGGTGACAATATGGGAAATGTCGTCTTCCGGTGGCTTGCATTGTGTCCTAATTTCCCTTATAATGCTCATATAGTTAGGATGGGGGTTTAATTAAAAAGCATAAATGAGATTAACAACAGAAGGAAATTGAGTCATGTTGTTTTTTTGTTAATGTTTAAAAATTACAAAAAAAATAAATCAACTCAAATTTCAAAAACTATGAAAAGTTTCCAGTTACATTAACAAGACCTTTTGGGGTCCTGTTTGAAATTTTGTTGACAGTAATTTTTCAAGCCTTGCCACATATTCTCAAATGTATTTGGAGCTGTGCATTGACTGGACTGTTATAACTCATAAAAATGCATTTTGATGAGTGTCATTTGTGTCCAATGCAAAGCTACCATTAGGCTGACGTATTGGTCAAAAATTACTTTAGCATGTAATATGCAAGTTCATAAGGCTTAGAAATATCTTAGCCAACAATTATTATGCTCCAGTCCTTTGCATTAGGAATATTACACACACAAATGTCACAATGAATGTATATTTATATATGTTGACCAGTATCACTTTAAAGATGATTTCTGAAGGCAGATGGTTGCACTGTATTTTATTTAGGAATATTTGTGTATGTTATGCTCACTTTTCAGGTTTTATTTTGCAAAAATGTAACAATACTGGATTTTTTGTTTAGGTTCACTTCGTGGTTATGTGCTGGGTTCTTTTGATTTATTGTGACAGTACAGATTTCTGAGTTTAAAAACTTGAAAATTTTCTAGAAAAGAATCCAAAATTTTGAGGTTAATCTAAAAGAAATGTATAAACAACGTTTTTGACATTCAAAAGTGGAAAATTTCCAAAAGTAAAAAGTTTTCAATTAAGTAAAAAGTTTTCAACTTTTTAAATGTTCTCTTTTTTCCCCCCAGAAAATGTCTGAGATTAATCTCAAAATTTCTGCGTTTTCTTTTTTTTTTTCCAAGGAAATTTTCCACTCCTTAAACTCAGGAATTTTCGTATTTTTTCTACAAGATTTCTGAAATGTATCTCAAAATTTCAGTTTTTTTGTTGTTGTAAATTTTCAACTTTAGAAACTCAGAAATTTCCAAATTTTTTCTCAAATATTTTTAAGATTAATCCAAAAATGTCAGCATTTTTCTCACAAATTTTCCACTTATCAAAATCAGAAATTTCCATATTTTTTTTTTGAAAATTTCTGCAATTAATCTGTAATTTTAAGAATTTTTTTTGGGGGGGGGAGGACATTCATTTACTACTTCTTTTGTTTTTTTCCCCCTAATGTGCCGTCGTGGATAAATGATGACACTGACCTTGTGCTTCCTCTCTGCCCTGCGTCACGCAGCAGACGGTGGGACCATGAGGACCGTAGTGGCTCTGCTGCTTCTCTGTCTGTGCGATCCAGGACAGAGTGACTGCCAGACTGACTGCCTGTCCTGCAGCAAAATCCTGCCTAAACAGCTCAGTTTCAACACTGTGGTAAGACAAACACACACACACACACACACACACACACACACACACACACACACACACACACACACACACAGTTTCAGTCTCAGTCACTGGGTGTTATCATTCTGAAAGCTCTGTTCAAAGTCCAAGAAGCATCTTTCAACATAATGTTGGTTGCAGACATTTTACTTGTAGAGAATTGAATGCCACTTAACACGAATGAACTCGTGCGAAACCTAGTATCTCCTTCCAATTTGAAACTCTTCACCCCAGCATCTCGTATTTATTCTGCACTCCCAGCCTGACTCAACGAATTATCCTTTTGGCATTTGAGTTTTAATTTGTTGAGGCTAATTGATTCCCGGGGACAAATGTGTGTTTCTTCCCTCTGTGCCTGCTGGTGGTTTCTGTCTGGATAAAGACATGTCTGCGTTTCAGAAGAGTCTTTGTAGGTGGCACACCAGAAGACGTTTAAATTTTGACCGTTTAAAAAACGTTAAGCTCTGATCTATTAGTGTTTGACGCCGGGATCACGGGATCATTTATGGCCCATTACAGCAGGACAACGCTTTCATTGCCTTTACTAGGACAATAAAATTGTCCTAGTAATTTACCATTCTCTTATAAATAATTATTTAATTTGAAAGTGTTACTATGTTCATGTACATCATAACCGTAGACAAGAAATTTAGCTTGGATTCGGCTGTGAAGTTAATTTGACTTTTTTTTTATAGTGTAAACATGGATCTGGTTCATAGCAGAAGCTCTGTTCAGTTTTTTGTGTCGTCTTTTTTGATTAACTAAAGCAACGACAGGGCAGGTTGTTCCCTGCCTCAGAAGTATAACATTTCTCCACAGTGTTTTTACTTTGGTCTATGTTTCTCCAAAAACGTTTTTAAAAGTCTTTTCTCTAGACATGCTTGCCATATTAGAGGAGTTTTAAACTTCCAGCAGCGGATCACTGTTTTAGTACTGATCCATGGATGTTCATGTGAGCTGATCTCTGAAGGCTATGTCTCTGTGTCCCTGCAAAGCTGCTGTGAAAACTTGAGTAGATTAACTATTATTTGTTTTGGCATTCATTATATTTGAAAACTTGATCAATTTAACTTGATAACTTTTTTTGTAGGAGTGCACCAATTGCAATTTTCTGCCCAATAACCAATCTTTAAAAAGCCTAACCTGCCGATTCCGACTTTTGCCGATACTGATTTTTTTTCGTCTGAAAAGTTTCTAAATATAGAAAGTAGTTAAGTCGGTAACAGAGGGGTGACTACAGTTACAGCACACTTGCCGATTATACCGGTCAAGTCTCCCATTTTGGTCAGAAACTATCGTTTTTTACCCCCCTCTCCCTCCTTGCTCCCATATTATTATTTTTCTATGCATATCCCATATTGTGCCTCCCCGGCTCTCATGTTAATTGCTCCACCTCCCCGCTCTTACAGCAGAATATCCCTTACCTTAGTCTCCCCGATCCTCTTTGACAGAAGCACCAGAAGACGACATTTCCCTTATTGCCAAGTCCAAAACTTGGCAGGTATGTTGCTGCTGTGACCTGGTGGGCTGGGCTGTCAGTCAGCCATCTCTCATTACAGAGCAAGAAGGGACAGAGGCTGATTTTCAGATAAAAATCGGTGGATAAGATCGTTTTCCCATATAAGTATTGGCTATTCGCCGATTTCATAAAATCAGTTAAATCGAGGCCTACTTTTCAGTTATTCGTATGAAAGCAATTTTGAAAACCATTTTCCTTCCACTTCACAGAACAACTCGTCATTTAATGCTGCTTTGCAGTGACTTGTTATATGGACCTTCAATGATTAATTCGTCTTATTCCTCTTAACTCGGCTCATCAAAGGAAGAGGATGATCTCTTGTCTCTATCTCCAACAGGTGTGTTTGATTGGATGCAAAAGCAGCGCCTCTCTGTCCTCCTCCTGGGACATCTGCCGTAAAGCGCTACCTTCTTCTTCCCCCGATGGCACCATCAGAAGAAGATCCCAAGAGGAAGCTGATGTCCTACTTCCTGAGGAAGAGGAGCAAATGGATGGGGGTCTATTCCTCCCCATGGCTTTGCAGAGATTCAACCACGTGACCCGCGCACTCGACCTGAACGACAGGGGTCTGGTCAGCCAGAGCAGCCCGCTGAGCTCCCTCTATGGCTCCCAGGACGCCCTGTCGCTCGCCAACGAGTACGACGAGGAGGAAGAGGCAGGGCAGGAAGGGGAGGACACCGGCGAGGCAGCGAGAGGGCAGGACGACCCGGAGCTGAGCGTCGCCAAGAGGTTCGGCGGCTTCGTCAAAGGGAGGCATGGCTACCGGAAGTTGGTCTCTCCGGGAAGGTCGTACCAGAAGAGGTACGGGGGCTTCATCGGGGTTCGGAAGTCGGCCCGCAAGTGGAACAACCAGAAACGCTTCAGCGAGTTCCTGAAGCAGTACCTGGGCATGAGCACCCGGTCCACCGAGTTCAACAGCGACTCAGGAGAGCTCACTCAGCAGAACGAGGTGTGAGGGAGCGCGCCTCCTTAAGGCCATGACAGACATACCAGATGTGTTTTCAGTTGTCTTCTATTAGAGCAGAGAACATTTCACAGTTAATCTGGCAACATTACAGTCACACAATTTGATTAAGTACATGAAAATAGATAAACCCCATCACAGCTTCTGGTTGTATGAATAGCCTTTTATGTGTATTTTCCTAAACAGGAATCCTTCTTACAATGGAAGGAAACTAAATTACGTTAGAAGTTACTTTCCATGTCTTAAAAAATCGTAAAGAAGGATTCGAAAAGTGGAATTGTATTTAAACATTTTCCAAGTTATGAACATAAAAGAAAACTATGAATAATAAAGTATTTCATTTTCCCCTCATTTGTTCTGTTGTATCCATTTCATACTTTAAGGAAGGACAGGGAAATCTGAAAAGTGACATGGAAGTGTGCTGGAACCTTATAAAGCTAATGCCCTCTTGAGATTCTCAAAGAAACTAAATCTAAAATCCTTGCTCTTTGAAAAATTCTGTGGTTCCTTGCAAAAATACCGCTCATTTTTGTTTACATTTAGTCTGCTTCGGGCCTTTTTACGGATGAAAATTTGAGCACTTTCGTTTTCGTGTGTCGCCATCTAGTGGACAAATACTTATAGCAGTCCAATATGAATTGTAATGTCTGTTTTTTTGTTCCTTCCTCTGTTTTTCATGTTCTACTCTTTTGATGATAAACACTTAAGCACCACTGTATCTGTGTGTGATTTATGTTGAATAAACTAAAATGCATTTACGTTTTGCTGGTCAGTATCTCCTACATCATACTCCCGATACAGATATATTAAAGTCATTTAACTTGAACAACTCCAGACAGCATGCAGCATTCATTCAGACTTTATGACAGTAATCAGTCTTGATTATGTTGTGCACAGCTGAGCATAAGCTTTGATAGCTTGTTGTGTTTGAATACTTGTGTGTAAAAAATTGTCTCTGAACTGTTACAGATGTAAAATGTTTTGTCTTGTAAATAACTGAATTGAAACATGCCAATAAATATAGTTTACTATTTCCTTCGTGGCTTGTCATGCAGTCTGCGTCTTGGAAGTATTTTGTTCTTAAGAGTCATTATTGCTTATTATGGTGCTATTTGAATTTTTTGTTGTGTTTTCAAGTCATTTTAGGGAGGATGAATTTCTAACTTTTTTTTTAATACTGTCTTCATTTGGTATTTCTTTATACATTTTAAAATGGAATAAGCACTTATTGGTTTCTTAGAAAAGGTACAAATGATAAACGATTGAAAACTAGGATTGTTATTCTTTACTCACACAGTTAGCATCAGGAAATCAGTCTCTGAATGATCCAACACCATCAGATTTTCATTTACCCATTTCAAATATGAGAAAATAGTACCAAATATAATATTAAAACAGGACACTGCAATTCATACCAGAGTAATACAGTTTTGGTGTGTCAGCATTGACACACAAAATACTGTCAGTACTGAGTGTTTTCAAATTTTGTTTGAATTTTAGTTCATTTTTTCACAGTAAATGGAGGAAGGGAGACACGCTAGAGTAAGGATGAAAAACACTTTCATTTATATCACTCTACAAATTTCACTTGAGATATGATTATCTCAAGAATGTCACTTTCCTAAAGTTTTGTGCCAAGTTTTGTGAGTGTATTTTGGAAATCCATTTTTCCCTTCAAAACAGTTTTCACATTTTATCACAAAATGTGCAATGAATAAAAACAAAAGACACAAATTAAGAATAACAAAATGAAGACTCTCACAGCAGATGATTACGACGGTGCAGCAAAATGCCGTTATAATGGCTTCATATAACAATATGTTAACAATGTAACATCCCAAAGTGAACACCCTCACCCTGTATCTAGTTGTAAATATGCCACTAATGTGCTGAATAGAGAATATATAGTTTGATCACAACAGATGAAAGTTAATTTATATTAAAAAGAGTTTGAGGAGCTTAAACAAAGCACCATGGTTTCTTATTACAGCCTTCAAAATGTGTCATGTTGTTAGAAAGGTGGATCTCAGGATAAGTTTGTTGGTGACTGTAAATTACACAATCAGATAGTGGGCCTGTTCTGCAGAATATCCTGGGCTATTTTATATTTGCCCCTGGATCTGAAGTATTCATAAAAATAAACCCAGTGTAATCAAAGTAAAATACACTTTTCTATAGAAAAAACTACATTTTCCTATTTTTTAATTTTTTTAATTCATTTATATTTTAAATATATTGAGGGAAAAGCGGGCCCAAAGTCAAATTCCTTGTTTGTTTGAACTAACAAGGGGAATAAAACTGATTCTTACATTTTTAAACGTGTAGATTCTATCCTACGTCAGCACGTACACATTTGGTTGGAAATTCAAATAGGCTAACTGGTGTGGCTGACATTACTTTCCAGTTGTGAAATACAGTTTTGACT